GGGAGGAGGGTGCGGGGTTGCTGCTGCCGCTGCTCCTCCTACAGCCCGCCTCCGCCTCCTCCCCGGGCTGCTCCAGCGTAATAAACAACAGCACATTCACACCGAGGGAGCCCCCGGCCGGCCTGCCTGCCTCCCAAACTGAACTCCCTTTCCTCCAACAGGGGTGGGTGGTTTAAAGAAAGCCTCCCCCCCCCGAAACTGCTTTGCTCCTTTCCCGCCCTAATTAAGGGGGGGTTCCTTCCTAATCCCCCTCCCTTTAGCGTTCACCCCGGATCGCCCCATAGAATCTTTCCTGGGTGGGGGGGACTTTGCCCCCCGACTCTCTCTCCCCTCCCTCCGTTCCGAAAAGAAAAGGGGGGGGGACACACAGGATTGTAGAGACTCGATTGAAAGCAGCTGTTACATACCCTCAAAGCTCCGGCGAGGAATCCTGAATGGGCAGGAACGCCCCTTCGACGCGATTGGCTGGCGGCGGAGAGAGCGTTGTAGTGGGGAGGGGCGGGGCCCGGACCTGGGCGCTTAGGACACGCCCCCCGCGGGGCTCTTTCACGCTCCGCCCCCTCCCTCCCACCCACCCAACGCGCACGCCGAGATTCTCGGGCGGTATATAAGAAAGTGGCGATTCTCGCTGCAACCGTTGGGGCTTCTTTTAGCCTAAAAAAGCGGGCGGGCAATTCTCGGCTGTTGCTTCCCTCCCCTCTCTCTAAGTGCCTTTCGATAGATCCAGGTGTTGTCCTGTAGTAGCAGAACAAAGTTCGAGTTCGGGGACGTACTAAAACTAAGGACAGCGATTGCCCATAGGGAATACATAAGTGCCCATAGAGAATAATGGAGAGTACGCTTGCCCAGAGGGGATAGTGCAGTACATAATTGCCAATAGAGAATCCATGATTGCCCAAAGGCAATATTGCCCAGAGGTCACTCTCTTAGGGGCTCTTTAAAAAGTTATGGCCACGGCAGCAGCTGCAACGGAAGCGGCGGGGGGGGGGGGGGGGGGGGGCC